AAAAGATGAAAAGATCATATTTCTACCCTCATTTAAAGAGGGTCTGAGGGCTGCATTCACAGCTCAGTCTGTTAACACCTAAAAAGTTGGATGAGGTTGGTCATGCTTGTAACCCTACCACTGGACAGGAAGAGAAAGGGGGTCCTGGGGCTTAATTGGCCTGTCAGTTTAGCTTAATCTCCAATCCCCAGGTGTCAGAGAGAGAGAGAGAGAGATCCTATATCAGAGATGGCAATAGGGGCTGGAGAGATGGTTCCAGGATTAGGAGCCTCAGTTCCCAGCACTCACATCAGGGCTCCAGGGGATCCCACACCCTCCTCTGGACTCCACGGACTGGTATGCATGCATACTGATACACACATGTGCACATAATTTTTTTTTTAATCTTAAAAAGCAAAAACCCCACAGTGTATGGGAAACAGTACCCAAGATGGACCTCTGGCCTCCAGTGCACCTGCTCACAACAGAAATTCTCTCTGTCTCTCTTCTCTTATTCTGACATGGGAAAATATGCTGCTATTAGGATATGTAGTTAAGGGCCACATTCATGGCTCCTTTATTTTATTATTTTTTAGGTCTGGTATCAGGTATCAGAAATTACTCGGCTGACTTATTCAGCCTTTTGTTCTCTCATGAGATTCAGATAAGCTGTCTCGAGGTTGTTAGTAGTCTTTTTTTCTTTTCTCACCACATGGACTGACTCCTCATAGGCCGTGTGAGGTGTCCTTATGAGAGGCCATTGGACCTCCCCAGAAGTGGTAAAGAGAAAACCCAAGATTGAAGCTTCCAGAGTGACATGCTCATTCCTGCCATGTTCTGTTGGTTACCAAGACCAATTACAGTCCAGTAAAGATGCCAACAAGGGTGTGAATAAGGAAACAGGACCCCACTGGGAATGGAACTACCTTGAAAGTTGATTACCACAAAGTGCTTTAAAAATTAACGAGGTTTGTATGCATCCAATGATCTCCCAGTTTTATGGGTTTTTTTAAATTTCTTTATTTTAATTATTTATTACAATTTATTGTATCTTGGCTGTGGCCCCCTCCCTTGTCTCCTCCCAATCCTACCCTCTCTCCCCCTTCTCCTCCTATGCCCCTCCCCTAGTCCTCTGATAGGGGAGGTCCTCCTCTCCTTCCATCTGACCCTAGTCTATCAGGTCTCATCAGGACTGGCTGCATTGTCTTCCTCTGTAGCCTGGCAAGGGTGCACCCCCTTCAGGGGGAGGTGATCAAAGTGCCAGTCACGGAGTTCATGTCAGAGAAATCCCCTGCTCCCCTTACTAGGGACCGCACTTGGAGATTGAGTCTCTGGGCTACATCTGAGCCGAGGTTTTTGGTCCTCTTCATGCATTGTCCTTGGTTGGGGTATCATTCTCTTCAGGGCCCCCAAAGCTCAGGGTTTTGTTTTTTGTTGTTTGTTTGTTTGTTTGTTTTGGCTCTGTTGGTCTCCTTTTGGAGCTCCTGTCTCCTCCAGGTATTTCTATCTCCCCTTTCTTTCATAAAATTCCATGCGTTCTGCCCAAAGTTTGGCTATGAGTCTCAGCCTCTACTTCGACAGAGTCTTTCAGAAGCCATCTGTGGTAGGCTCCTGTCCTGGTCCCTGTGTTCTCTTGCTTCCGATGTCCTTCTGACTGAGGATTGAGCATCTTCTAACTATACAACAAGGACATTTGCTCAGCCATGTTTGTAGCAGCTTTATTCGTAATAGGCAGAATCTGGAAACAACCCAGATGTCCCTCAAAGGAGGAATGGATACAGAAATTGTGGTACATTTACACAATGGAATACTACTCAGCTATTAAAAAGAAGGAAATCGTGAAATTTTCCGGCAAATGGTGGGAACTAGAAAAGATCACCTTGAGTGAGGTAACCCAGAAACCCAGAAAGACACACATGGTATATACTCACTCATCTGTGGTCATTAGACATACAATATAGGGTAAACACAGCAGTTTTACTTATTAAGAAGGGTTTGCATGTGGCTGCATATGTAAAAGACGGAAGGACAGCCAGCTGTGAGCAGCAGCAGCAGGGTGATGCATGGTGAACACTGAGGACACCATTTCTTTCTTATTTATAGTTTGTTTTCTTTATACGTACTCCCCGGAAGAAGCATGCACCACATTAAAAGTGATACAGTAAATTTACTTAGGACCATCCTTCTTTCTCCAGAAAGCCAGCTCCTCTCCTGTCAGGTTGATGAAGTTGTCTTCCTGGGTGTTCTGTCTCTTGCTTTCTTCCTGATGCTGCCTCTCCCATGTGTGCTCCCCAGGGGCCAGCTGAGTGCTCATCCTCAAAGCCTCCGCCTGACAGACTACCAAGCAAAGGATATTTGCTCAATATGTTTGTTGAATGAATGAACTGAAAGATTGATTTTATGCCACTAATATTTATTAAGTAGCTCTAAAGATAAAGAGCTTGTGTCTAGACCTTCGGTAACTTGATTCCTTTCGGTCAAATGGTTTTCTGACCTCAGGTCCAAATTCTGGTTCAGCTGACCCTGCTTAATATACTATAATAAAATTTTTCTTTAGGAACTTATCCAGTAACTACTTTTGTTGGGGGTAGGGTTAATTTGTTTGGTCTACTAGAGAATTATATATAATACAGCAGAGAAAATCTGCTGTTTCATACTGCACAGGTTAGAAATATTAAACTAAGTAGTCTTGCTTAAATGAGAAGGGTAAGGAAGCTGACTCAGCCCCCAATCTTCCACCTAATGTCAGTATCACAAATGGAAGCAATTATAATTGCTGGCAGAAATGAATCATTCCAAAATAAGGGCTGTACAGCCACTTCTTTATATATTCACTTATAATAGGATGGCTTGCAGGAGTGGGCCGGAGAAAACAGGAATCTCCTATTGGAAATCTTAAGAAAAAAAAAAAAAAAAAGCCTATTTCAGTCTTGATCTCTGTATATTTTGAATATACCCTTAAACCATACACAAAATTTGTACAACTGCTTCAGTCTTTCCCAAGCCCTTGTAAACCAGTCTCTTAACCAGCTAATAGTATGTAACCACAGTTTACAGTAATAAAACCAAAGAGTTCCCAGGGGAACCAAAGCCCAAGAGCTACTAGAGGAACCGGAAGCTTTCAGCACAATGACCCTGGGGGTTATTCCTGCAAAGTCAGCCCTGTGGGACCCACCTGTCAGGGACAGGCAGGTGGCTGTACAAGGCGCTGGGCACTACCTAGCTTGAGCCTGAGGACTGGCTGAGATGGCACTCTCTCTCATTAAAGCACCCACAACACAAAAGCTCACCCCCATCAGGAACTGCAGTGAGCCTGGGATTCCTGCTCTAATTGTTTTTATCCTGCTAAGCTAATCATCAGTTTCTACATCTGTACTTTACTATCGGGTTCAGCCTAGAAGTGTAAAAAAAAAAAAAAAAAAAAAAAGAAGAAGATGCTAGATTTCAAGGAAATGTAGCCCACGTGTCCAGGCAAAGGAGGTGTGGGGTTTAAAGGTTAGAAGTTTGAAATTTCCCGTGGCGAAGAGTCGAGGCCCCAGTGACTGAAAGGGGCGCCGATTCAGAATCTCAAGTACTCCGCTTGTCAGGCAAAGCCTGGCCATCGCTATAAATTCCAGGTGGTCTGGAAATTGCTGTGGCTGGCGGTTACAGAAGCCCAGCTATCGTGGATCTGCTCCCGCTGAGGGTCAGAGCGGAACTTCCCCGCAAATGAATTCAGATCAAAGCTTCACTGGTTGGTGTGTGTGTGTTGGGGGGGGGGGGTGTTACAAAAATAAAAGTAGATTTCCTTTTCTCTCAGTCACAGGGAGGAACACATAGACATTAAGCAAATACTTCGGGACAGAGGTATGCTCTCTGCTCAGGGGCAATGGCACCCACACAGTCCTGCTCCCCAAAGCTGCCCATGACTGTCTAGCAGCCTGAAACCGGTCCTCTGGGATCCGAAAACCGTTATCCAGAACCTCCGGACGGGGCGGCTGTGCGTCTAAGGCTCTTCTCTGCCCGTGCCCGCCCTCTGCTTTCCCCCCTTTGTCGAGCAGCCGCCCATCTCGCCTTTGCCTCTCCACCTCTGGGCTCCTTCCCCTCCAAACTCCTCCACTGCTGGTTATGTCTGCCCCCCACCCCTTAGTTTCTGCTGTTTGCCCATGTTATCTCTTTGCCTAAATTAAATGTGTCCCTCCATTCCCACGATCCGCTGCCCAGACGCCATCCTCCGTGAGGAAGCTCTGCAGGGCCACGCGCGACCCTGGGACCTTTCCCTGAGAGGGCGCAGACTCCAAGCTCCTCGCCAGGCACCAGGAAAGGCCAACCTCTGGGCTCCAGAGCACTCCCCGGCAGGTAGTTCTTTCAAGGCACGGGGATTTTGAGTGTCAGGGGCCCCGCCGCCCTCCGGCACCGACGTGTCGCGTTTCCGTGCAGCGCTAGGAAGAGACTGTGGGTGGAAAATGCGCTGCAACTCGCGGGCCACCGGGCGGGGGGCGCAGTCACTTGTTGCGACCAGTGAACGAGGCTCCATGCTGGAGCGTCTTTAGCTGTGCAGGGGATCCCCCCAGCACGCACCCCACTGCTCTGCCGCCGTGGGAGGGGAGGAGGAGCCGCGCCCCGAGAGCCGACCCGGGTGGGCGCTGGATGCCCAAGGGGGCGCGCAGGCCCGGCCCGGCCCGGCCCGCGGTAGCCGACCCGGCCGCCAGCCCGCCCTCCTGACGCCGAGCGTCCCGCCGACCCGGGAACCGCGCGGGACGAAGCTCACCGCGCCTCCCCACCGACTTCCAAGTCGCGGTCGCTAGGCTTCCCGCCACTCCTCTCAGACCCGTCCCCCACCCCTGCCACTTTTCCCAGTCCCCCGCCCCCGCCTCCCGGGAGCGGCGGGGCAGTCGCACGCGGAGCCGCCGAGCCGCGAGGACGCCCGGCCGGAGCTGCCCTCCGCAGCCGAGCCCGCGCCCCCCGCCCTCCGCTGCGCCCCGCCGCCCTCGCTCCGCGCCTCCTCCCCGCTGCCCTCCCGCGAGCCCGGAGCTCCGCCGCGGCGGAGGGCGGCGGGGCCGGCGCGATGCGGCAGCTGTGCCGGGGCCGCGTGCTGGGCATCTCGGTGGCCGTCGCGCACGGGGTCTTCTCGGGCTCCCTCAACATCCTGCTCAAGTTCCTCATCAGCCGCTACCAGTTCTCCTTCCTGACCCTGGTGCAGTGCCTGACCAGCTCCACCGCGGCGCTGAGCCTGGAGCTGCTGCGGCGCCTGGGGCTCATCGCCGTGCCCCCCTTCGGCCTGAGCCTGGCTCGCTCCTTCGCGGGGGTCGCGGTGCTCTCCACGCTGCAGTCCACCCTCACCCTCTGGTCGCTGCGCGGCCTCAGCCTGCCCATGTACGTGGTCTTCAAGCGCTGCCTGCCCCTAGTCACCATGCTCATCGGCGTGCTGGTGCTCAAGAACGGCGCGCCCTCGCCCGGGGTGCTGGCGGCCGTGCTCATCACCACCTGCGGCGCCGCCCTGGCAGGTGAGCGGGACCCGCGCCCAGCCCCGGCCCACCCATCCCACCCGGGAGAGGCCGCGCGGACCACTCTCCCCCGCCGCCGCCGGACGGGGAGACTGAGGCGGAGCGAGGCGGGGAGCCCGGAGCGGTCGCTGGGCTCACAAAAGGGACTTTTCCTCTGAGACCCAGCGCAGCCCTCCGCGGCCTCCTCCACAGCCCTCCCCCTAGCTGTCCGGCTTCCGCCCCCCGCCCCTCTCTCCTCCGCGTGTTGCCCCCACCCAGGTTTTTCTTGGTCAGCCCCTTCCTCCGGGAGGGATGGAGAGTCGCCTGAGCTGAGAGCTGGAGTCCGGCCCCGGACCGAGCCGGAAGGAAGGGGGCCGGGAACTTCCTCGGATCACGCGGGGCTGGGGAGATGCGGGGCTGGGGAGCTGGGGATGAAGCCTGGTGACCCGAGCTCCTTCGGAGTCCCCGAGCGCCAGGCGGGAGGGACCGGCCCGGGGCTCAGGTGCGGGAGGGCTGGGAGGGCCCCGCGGGGTCCAGGTGCGGGCGGAGGAAAACCCTCTTTCCGGGGCCGGGTTGAGGCCACTAGCCGGGATTCCCTCTCCCTTCCGGTGCCCACGGGGCGGGGTGGAGGGGCCACCCGCCCAGGTGACCTCCCTGCAGGCTCAGGGACGCCGAGCCGCCTACCCCGGGAGCGTCTGAGCTCCCAGTGGCCTTCGCCCTGGCTAGAGGAAGACGGGGTTCGGTGACTGGGTTTGACACAGTCATGGAGGCAAGAAGGGCTTCTGTTGGCCACTCGGGAAATTCGTGGGCAGAGGTGGGACGGGAAGCGGGTCTTTTCCAAGGCAACCTGCTTCCCGGAGTGGAAGCCCAGCCGCACCAACCCTGTGCCTCCTTTTCTTTCCCACGCTCGGTGCGCTCAGGAGCCGGAGACCTGACGGGCGACCCCATAGGGTACGTAACGGGCGTGCTGGCGGTGCTGGTGCACGCCGCCTACCTGGTGCTGATCCAGAAGGCGAGCGCCGACACGGAGCACGGGCCTCTCACGGCGCAGTATGTCATCGCGGTGTCCGCCACCCCGCTGCTGGTCGTCTGCTCCTTCGCCAGCACCGACTCCATCCACGCCTGGGCCTTCCCCGGCTGGAGGGACCCGGCCATGGTCTCCATCTTTGCGGCCTGCGTCCTGATCGGCTGTGCCATGAACTTCACCACGCTGCACTGCACCTACATCAACTCCGCCGTGACCACCAGCTTCGTGGGCGTGGTGAAGAGCATCGCCACCATCACGGTGGGCATGGTGGCCTTCAGCGACGTGGAGCCCACCTCTCTGTTCATCGCCGGCGTCGTGGTGAACACCTTGGGCTCCATCATTTACTGCGTGGCCAAATTCCTGGAGACAAGAAGGCAAAGCAACTATGAGGATCTGGAATCGCAGGCGGAGCGAGAGGAACCGCTGCCAAGTGGGGACCAGTTGCCTTTTGCAATGGAGGAGCTGCCCGCCGCCGAGGGCGGAAATAGCGGGCCAGAGGGTGCAGAAGGGGCAGATGGCTCCATACACCAAGGTGGGCAGGAGTCAGGGGGCAGCCCCAAAGGGGACTCACTGGTGGCCAGGAGTTCAAGAGTAGACGAGCATTCCGATGAAGGGAGCAGGAGGTCCTTAAAGGATGCTTACTTGGAAGTGTGGAGGTTAGTTAGGGGCACTAAGTATATGAAGAAGGATTATTTGATAGAAAACGAGGAGTTACCCAGTCCTTGAAAGACAGCAATGTATGTACATGAGTACATACGGTTATTTTACATGGTAGAAACGTTAGGGAGGGGCCTCCGGTTTTATTCTGAGGAGTGGAGGAAAAGAAACAAAGAAAGGTTTCAGGGAGCGACAGAGACGAATTATGACCTACTTATTGTTTATTAATTATCCAGTGGGACTTTGCCTGAGGTACCACAGAAGGAGGAGACCGTGCTTAACACAGCCAACAGTGATTTCAGCTGCAGACTCCTGGACACTCATTTCTGTCTTTATAATCATAACCAAATACCTGCATGTACCAAGAGCCCCTCAGCCACCCCCTCCAAAGATGGCTTGTAACAATGATGACATCACTTAGCAAGTTCAAAGGTCACGTTCAGGGGCACATTTCTGATGACAGAGCTAGCTTTTATTGCCTGCTAGGCAAAGAGAACATTGTTGAAATGACATTTATAAATACACTGAATTGTTTACTCTTCAGGTCACCTGCAATATTGTGTTTACTCGAATTTTTCTTCCTTCGATTTTTTTAAAATGAGTATTCTATTGTATATTGATAGGAAATGTTGAAGCTATTTTGAGGACATGTGTTCTTAGCTTTGATTATGGAGTCTAATGTTTGCTCTTTGTAATTATATCTTAAAGGCTGTTTGGTTCCCTTGCTTTATAATATTTATTATTGAATGCTATAGCCTTTTAAGAAGTCCATTTTGCCATGTAATACCCTCTCAAGCAAATGCAGGGGCTGGAATATAAGTCAGTGTTGACTGTAGGACAGCCAGAAGGAAGACAGACCACCCTGGTCTGCACTGCACACTCCAAACTCTGTTACAGAAAGAGCAACTGCTATATTCGCATTATAATATTTTTCTATCTTATCTTTGTCAAAAAATAAAGCCTGAGTCTAACTGTAAAGAGATATGTTGTTAGTTCGTTTCAGATACATTTATATTCTGTTGGGCAGTTCGAAGATGCTTTCCATGTGTGGAAAATAGTGGCTTTGTGCAGGTATCAAACCAATGGAAACTTTCCTTCATTTTCTCTTTTTACAATGATGCCTTTGAACTTCTGACCCTCCCGCTTTTACCTTCCCAGTGTTGAAATCACCAGCATGTGATGCCCAGGTTAGCATGATGCTGTGAGCTGAAACCAGGGCTTCGGGCTTCAGGCTTCTGGCACGCTAGACAAATACTCCATCAACTGAACTCTACACTCCGGTGGCCATTGAGGACTTTCTAAGTTACCCATGCCAGTTGAATTTAAAGTTATAAGACAAACAAAACAACAACAAATAATTTCCAGTAAAGAAAACTACAAAAAGATAAAATAGCACCTAATACTGGAGAATGAAATCCACTCGTATCAGATGTCAGTGCAAATGGAAAGTGAGATAAACTAAATGGCAACAGCCACCCAAAGGGGAGTACAAGAGAGGCTCTGTGACAGAGGCTGTTCTTGTTAGCCAGCGTCTTCCCAAGAGGCTCAGAGAGTGGCATCACGTATTTTTCTGTCATTGACAAAAACTGAAACAACCCAAAAAGTGGGGGCAGAAGTTGACTTTTGGTCCCTTATCAATTTCCACAATCTGGAAAGCAGATGGGGTTGTGGTTATGACTGGTCCTGCTTTACTGCTTTTTCTAAGCAACCAGTTGCTTCCAGGAGTGCCACCAACTTTCAAGGGCCCTTATAGGACAGAAGTTAGAAGTGGCTTTAAAAAAACAAAAAAAAAAAAAAAACTAAAATAAAAAGCCTAATTTTGACATCAGCATGCCAGAGGGCAAATGTCCTGTTACACCAATATCAAGCTGAGAATTAATGAAAAGCAACAAAGTTGAAGGATGCCTGGTATTTCTTTTTATATCACCATCAAAGAATAATTGTTTTTTTTTTCTGAACAAAATTCCCCTTTGATTACAATGTGGGTTAGCACATATTGCAAAAAGATGAATCCTTTCTTGCCAGCAAACTTGATGAAACGTTCTTTTAGAATTCACTATAGATATAGTAAAGGGGATATCAAGGAACTCATGCTTGTGGTGGTGGCTAGTCTGAAATCTGTGACAAATTCTGGCCTGGCCCCTATGCTGAAGTCTTAAAGTTTCCTTCCAGAAACCTTAGTGTTGGTCCTATGGCCTATCCATGTTAATGGAGGGTAATGTATTTTACTCAGAGTTTACTTACTCTTTTTAAATGTTAATTACATATTTTAAATGTCATATCAACAGTTAGACTGCTATTTAATCAGATGTTTTGACATTTGGAGATGATTATGATGATAGACTAAGAAAAACTAAAAAAAAAACAAACAAATAACAAAAGTTCTGTCACACTCTTCAGACAAAACTTAAGGTCTCTCGTGCAAAGAACAGACAGTACACAGAAAAGACAGGTAACATAAGCAGAGGGATGGGTAGGATAAAACAGAAAGGAAGGCTAAAAAATGCTGAAAGATGAAAAATGAAAATCCCTATCATGGTAGAAATGGAGAATTCCTGGGAGAAAGTACATCATGGGGTACAGATCAGTGCTCAATCCCTGCTCACTAGCAGCTGAAGGCCAGACCTGACTCTCCAGATCCCTCCACTGTCTTCAGCTCCCAAGACCACAAAAGGGACCTGCCTCACACGGGCCCACTACTTCACTATAACTCTTCTCTGCAACACAGCGTGTCAGACTGAATGTCTCGGTGCTGGCCTCCTCCACCGGCCTCCTCCGCTCTGAACGCTATCCAGCTCTCAACTAAGACCTGTGGCATAGGTCTATCCGAAATGCCAGGAAAGGCTTGCCGGGGATGCACAGATGAGAAGGTGGGTGGATATTACTGGAGAAAGTGAGCACGGCTGAGCAAGGACCCACACTCCCACAGGACCAGGCATTTGACAGGCAATCACTTCTTGTCACAGGGCCTGATTCTTTAGGTCATGAGTAGCAATGCTCAGAAGACAAAACAGGTATAATTCACAAGTCCTAATCTAATTGGCAGAAGGGTGATTTTTTTTCTTCATATTTTTGAGATTGTTTCCTTAATTTGAAGAAGGGTAATTAATTTGGAGTATACTTATTATTTTTTTCTGAGATAGGCTCTTATATGGCCAAGAGCCTTAAACTCCTCACTTTCCTGTATCCACTTTTCAAGCGCTGGGATTTTAAGCGTGGACCGTCACCGCAGCACTCAGCTTAGGAAGTTTTGGTTTTATTTTTTTTAACAGAGCTATCTGTAAGTTCACTGACTCTTTCCTTACCTGAGTTTAGTCTGCTGCTAGCCCGTCAGGGGAATTCTTCATTGTTTTTTGCTACCAGTGCTTAGTGTTTCTTTTTGATTCTTTCTTAGTTTTCAACCCTCTGCTTTCAATCCCTGTCTGTTCCTGCATACTGTCTGTATGCGAAACAGTTATTTATACTTATATTATTTATATTTCCCTCTCCGATGATTCTAAAGCCTGTGCCATCCACACTCAAGTCCAAGTCACACGTCTGCCTACTTGGACTTGCCTTTTTAGACCTACTTGTCTTCTTGCCATTTTTCATGCCCATGCCTTGACTTTTCCTGAGGAGAAGTGAACAGGTTCATCTTAGATAGAGTACCAACCATAGATAGACCCAAGAAAGACTCCATCCAAGTCAGTGAACTAATGACTTTTGTGGGGTTACTTACAAGGAGCAGGAGTGAGGGGTCACAGGAGCGTGAATGACTCAAAGACAGTTGCATCACCATAGGCCCACCTAGGATGGGTGATGACTCACAAGAGCCAAATCCCAGGAGCTCTCTGCTCAACCTGCAGCTAGGGCCTCTCAAGAGTCTCCTCACCCCTAGCAATTATTTATGTCTTATATAATCTCAGGGAGGGGCCTCGTGACTTCAGCTGCCTTGTGAATTTCATTTGAGGAGGCTCCTCACTATCGTTCTAGGAACAGCTGCACAACAATACTTTTGGATTTTCTTATTGTGGAAAGCCAGATGATAGATACCCTAGGGAATAGGAGCTGAGACAAATAGGCCCCTAAATGAGAGGTGCCCTGTTCACAGGGCCAGAAATTGAGGTCTGCACTGTTTGCAGCAACTATAGTACAAACTCCACTGCACCTGTCTTTCCTCTCAATTATCTTCAGCTCTTTCTGCTGCAGTTTAGGCATTATAATGGATCCCTGCTGGTATGACTATAAGCTTTCCTGGACTCGCTTTGTAGCCCAGGCCGGCCTCGAACTCCCAGAGATCGGCCTGCATCTGTCTCCAGAGTACTGGGATTAAAGGCGTGCGCCACCTTGCCTGACTGTCATAGTTAGCTTTGACAACTTGATTCATCCTAGAGTCATCTGAGAGGAAAAGTCTCAGATAAGGAATTGCCGTGAGTGACGTCATTCCTTAAGCAGGTGTCCCAGGCTATATAATGAAACTATCAAAACATGAGCCAGTGAGTGAGCCAGCAAGAAGCATTCCCCTGTGTTTCCTACCTTAAGGTTCTTGCCTTCAGCTCCTGCTTTAAATTCCTTCAAGGATGGACTGTGGTCTGGAAGTGTAAGATGAAATAAACCCTTTCCCCTCCAAAGGTGCTTTTTCTGAAGGTGTTTCATCACAGCAACAGAAAATAATATAGAATATTTTTTTCTGTGAACATCTGTCACTTCTTTGTGTTGAGACGTTTTAAATTCCTCTCTAGTTATTTATCCAATAAATGTGGTTGGAAACAATGGTCCCTGTACTGGAAACTCTTGGGCTCCTCTTTTTGGTTGTATTTTGGTATATGATAATACCTAAGAATTCTCCCATCCAACACTGCCGCTTTTAGGCTTTAAGTTATCATTGTTCAACACTCCAGTTCTATGATCATAACGTATTTGCCTTGCACACTTGAGTGAGAACATGTGGCGATTGTTTCTCTACGCTTGACTTGTTTAATTCAGCATCCTTCAGCTCCACCAACAGTGCCACAAATAAAAAAATTAATTTTTTATTGCTGAATGATAGTATTATATTATATAAATGTGTCATTTCTATTATTCACCCATCGTCCATGGATGCATGCATGGATCCCAGCCATCATCCTGTCTTCAATCCATCAGTCCTTTCTTCATCTGTTGAAATCTTTTAAATCCCTATCTTGGCTTTGCATTTTCACTAAGTCTCAGTCTTAGTTAACCCATGTCCCTGGCTTTTTAACCCTTTACAAATGTTTCTTAGCCACTCTTCTCCTCATAGACGACACAGGAAAGCTATTGAGGCTCAATATAGGAGGAATAAAAACCCTTCCCTCAGGTAGGAGAGGTTTTGCTACATCTTTGTACGTGGGGAGGGCATCTTTATTACGGAAAATGCTCTGGGCATGTCTCACAAAGATTACTTTTCATCTTTCATTGCCTGAAGGCTAGGGAATCTTTTACAGCCTTTTTCCAGTTGTGAAATTCCTAGATGTCAAACCTATGACCATATGAATATGCCCAAGACTGTGGTCCCCAGTTAGTTATTTCCTGTAGTTATAGACAGCCAAGTCCATGCATTAATTATGAAAATCATCATTCAGGTATTTCTACCAGTTATTGCTCTGGTGGCTCTGATTCGGGTAAGATCTTGGCTGTAACTTTCTAGGTTAATTTATCTCTCTAGAGTTTGGGGTGGCAATTTTATCCTTGTCTTCAGTTCTCAAATGGGTGCAAAAGCAGTCATTGATTTTCAGTTTGTTCATCTTTTTTTCCCCTGTGAAGATAGAAATGAATGACAGGGTTTTTTTTTTTTTTCTTAAAAAAATTGTGTGTGTGTGTGTGTGTGTGTGTGTGTGTGTCTAGAATTCTGTTTGTAAGTGATCAGAAGGGAGTTGAGGCACTCTGACAAGCCAAGTTGAGGAAAGGGCTCAGTTAATGTTATAATCCAATATCCTGGGCTAGCCAGCGTTTGGATCAATGGCTCCTTTAATACTTAA